TTCGACCCAGTAATTCCACTTATGGAAATTTAGCCCATAGTTATGCTGTCTGTGATTTATTTCCTCACTTGCAAAATGAGAATGATAGTGCCCACCCGGCAAGCTTGGCATGTTTACATGAGTTCATGTATTTAAAGCATGTGAGCCATGCCTCACACAGTAAGTTACCTGCTGGCTGACCCTCCGTTCCCCTTGAGGTCAGATGTATTTTGGAATTCTGAATTTTTTTTCCAGAATAGAGAAGATAGTAAGATGCATTTATTGTATATTACGTGACACCCCTAGGAGTATCTGGGACAGCCCTCCATAATCAAATGCTCATCTTTCTGCAGTGAAACATGTGAATGTTCACATGAAGGGAGGAAGATTAAAAAGCTTCAGGTTCAGAGTAGACCTTGATCTCAGGTCAGGACAGGTTTTGTTGCTGGATGAGTTGCTGGCATATAGAGAAACTCAGTATTCTTTTGGGTTTTTAGAGCATGTTGGATTTCAGAATTGTGGATAAGGGGTCATGCACCCAGATGTGAGTTTGCAAACACAGAGATGGATGTACAAGGCTATTTGTGGCACCCTTGTTGGAAGTAAGCCTGGAAAAGCCTGAATGGGCCTCACTAGAAGATTGGTTAAATAGTACACAATGGAACACTATTCAGTGAACCATAACGTGCTACTAGGAGAAGGGCAGCAAGATGTATTACTTAAAATTAATGACATTTGCAGAACAACGTGAATCGCGTGTGATTTTGTTTGGATTAAAAAATATGTATAGGTGCTTGTATATGTATCAAGAAGCAAATAGCATACCATCTAGAAACATCCAGAATAGTGGCTGTACATGAGAATCACTTGGGGAGATTAAAAGAATACCAAATGCCTGGACCTCACCCTAAACCAGTTGAAATAGAAAGGAATGCAGAAGTGGTGCCCAGGCATTGCTATTTTAAAAAAGTATTCCAGGTGATTCTGATACCCATTGAGGGTTGAGAGCAGCTGGAGTAGAAGGATACAGACATTAGAAAATATTATTACTTTAGCTCAGAAGTAGGAAGAGGAAGACTATACTTTTCTGTACTGTGTGATTTTCCTGGAATTGCATTTAGTATTTTTATATTTTAAAAAGTGTTAAAGTAGTTTAAAGAAAAAAACAAACTTGTGATCAAGATAAGGTGTGACAGGGTGGTGGAGACACATTTTCAGCAGATCTTCAGAATCTTCTAGAAGTTTAGTGTTTCTGAGCATTACTCTTTTTTGGCATGTATGAGGCTTACTGATATCAACTGGTAACTGAATTGAAAACATTTTTTCCTTTTTCATCCTGGAGATAAATGAGGCACCAGTAGAGGCTAGATGGAGTCATCAGCTCTACACGAAGTAATTCTTTTATTTTATTTTACTGTGTTTTAGATGAAAGTTTACATAGCAGATTAGGTTCCCATTTAACAATTTGTATAAAACTTGTACTATCACATTGGTTACATTTTCCATAATATGTCAGCATTCTCATTATTTCCATTCTTTTTATTCTGTTCCCATTATATCCACTCCTCACTTACCAACATGTTTAGTTTCCAAAGACAAGGTTGTTATGTGAAATTCGACGTTATACGAAAATGAAGGATGACCACATCAGATCACAAAATGGAGGATGACTACATCATTACATAACTACCAAACCACTGAGAATCATGGCCTAGCCAAGTTGACACATAACCTTAATCAACACAGCCAGCGTTACTCTTGCCTTGCACCTCGGTGTTAGTTACTGCCAGACCTACGTTGTTAATGCGCAGAGTAGTTGGATAGTAGTTTTGCTATTGTTGTCATTGTGAAATGTCGGATAACAAGGTAGTCAGTAGTTTCTCATCTTTGTTTTAGGGTAAATGTTGACTGTTTGGTCTCATATAGTTGATTGTTTAAGGGAGCACAGTATTCAAGGGTGATACTATTTAATAAGACAGTCTGTTGTTTGGATGAAAGGTGACCACCTGGAGTGGCTTCAGTTCCAAGTTCAAAGGGTATCTTAGGGCAGTAGTCTTGGGGGTTCCTCTAGTCTATTGCTCCAGTAATTCTGGCTTTTTTTTTTTTTTTTTTTAAGGAATTTGAGTTTCGTTTTATGTTTTTCTTCCTTTCTGTCCGGGCCTTCTGTTGTCTCCCTGGTCAGAATGTTCGGTAATGGTAGCTGGGCACCATCTAGTTCTTCTGGTCGCAGGCTAGATGAAGCTGTGGTTCATATGGCCTGTTAGTCCTGTGGGCTAGTTTCTTGAGTCTTCGTTTCCTTTATTCTGTTTTGTTCCAGACAAGTAAAGACCATTAGCTATATCTTAGATGGCTGCTTGCATGCTTTTAAGACCCCAAACCCTACTCACCAAACTAGGATGTAAAACATTATGAACTATGTTATGCCAGTTGACTGAGTTGTCCCATGAGACTATAGTCCCAGGCCTTCAAATCCAGTAATCCAATCCCACGAGATGTTTGGTTATGTCTAGGAAGTATCCCTAACTGTGCCCCCATGTATGTATGAATATATATGCAGCACACATAAACATGTGTATACATAAGCCTACAGATATACCTGTACATGCACATCCATATACTCAAATATATGTTTTCCTATACACATATATGCATGCATGGCTATATGTATACATGTAGCCACACACGTATCTTTTTGGTTATTGTAGCAAAATGGTATGTTATAGCATTTACCAAAATTGTCCCTTATTCTTGCGTACTTCTTGGTATCTTCATTTATCTTGGACAAATTGCGCAGACTTCACCCATATTGGGTATTGCCTTTTCCATCACCAAAAATAACAAATGTCTGCTATCTAGAAGGTGATTCCTCTCCCATCCCTGGTAACCACCAAAGAATATTGCTTTCTGTGTGTAAACCTATTCTTAACTTTTTATAAAAGCGAGACCATACAGTATTTATCCTTTTACGGTTGACTTATTTTACTCAGCATAATGTCCTCCAGATTCATCCATGTTTTAAGATGTTTCACGGACTCCTCAGTATTCTTTATTGTTGTGTATTATTCCATCGTATGTATGTACCACAATTTGTTTATCCATTCATCTGCTGATGGCCACGTAGGTTACACGAAGTAATTTTTGTGGTGCTTTATTTTCGATGATTCAACTAGATTGCTGATTTATCCCCTATAGGCTCATATAGTAGTTAGTGTGTAATTACCAAGAAAGAGGGTGCCTTCCAATGAACTCATAAGTAGAAATACCGTAGGGTCAGAACCACCTCTGTCAGCTGTTGTGTGGAACATTCTCAAGAACTTTATCTTGAAGGTAATTTCCAGGTGGTTGCAAAAGCCTGTCCCAGGGAAGTGGCTTCTCTGCCACCAGTGCTGCTGCCTCTCTTCCTCACACACCCAGAATGTAAGGATTTCTGTTCTCAGAATATTTCTTGCTGTGGCTACCCTCACTCTGATAAGGTGCTGTTTGATCTGCCTTAGCGAAAGCCTTTTGGAAAAGTCAAACTTCCCTTGTTCTTGGTGATTAATACTAGTATCCAACCAGAACTGATTTTGAGTTGAAGCATGTGAACATAATTTACACCTCTTGCAAACAGTTAACAGGCTTAACTGCTAACTGAAAGGTTGGTATTCACTCAGAGGCGGCTCAGAGGAAAGGCCTGGTGATCTACTTCCAAAACATCAGCCATCGAAAACCCTATGGAGCACAGCTCTACTCTGACACACACAGGGTCACTGTGAGTCTAAATTGACTGGACAGCAACTGTTTTATTTTGTTTTCTAAGATATATCTTCGTTCCTTTTAAAAAGTTTTATTGCACTCAGTAGCTCTCAGACTGAGTTCCTGTTTTTCCTCAGAATCTCTTAACACCAGTGTGAGGCTCACTACGCTGATGTTGCATGAAAATGAGAAATGAGGGCACAGAGGAAGCTGTCCTCTCGTTTGGCACAGAGTGAATGCCTCTTTTCTGTTTTGAATCCCAGTAGGGAACACTTTGTCTATGACCTCAGTCAGATTACATACCTTGAGTGAGGAGAATGCTGCTCCCAGCAGTCAGGGCTGTGTCTGAGTAATGCATCCCTGGTCGTGATTTATACAGTGGGAATTCATTCAACCCTCAGAACGGGTTTCCTCCTTCAGCTCAAGAAATGCTTTAATGGGGTGTCATTAGTAATTCTGTCAAAGGGTAAAAACCCTCCCGTCTTAGGAGTCAAATCAAGAAGGCCTTATTGAGGAATGAGAACTATCTTGTTTTTAATGTGATGGTGGAAGCACTTCATATTTGCTGTTGCTGTTTTCATGTTATCTGCTGTTGAGTCGACCCCCATAAACAGGGGAATGAAATGCTGCCCAGTCCTGTGCTAGCTCCATGCTGGGTTGCGAATCGGACCGTTGTGATCCATAGGGTTTTCACTGGCTAATTTTTTGGAAGTAGATCTCTAAGGCTTTTCTCTCTAGGAACCTCTTCTGAAATCTGTTCAGCATCATAGCAACACACAAGCCTCCACTGGCAGATAGGTGGTAGCTGTGCATGAGGTGCATTGGTAGGGAGTTGAACCCAGGTCTTCCGCACGGACAGTGAGAATTCTACCACTGAACCACCACTGCCCCCATGCTGTTTGCTTAGATTGTTAATTTAATTCTCACTCTATACTGGGGAGGCAGGTACTATTATTATTCCCATTTTACAGATGAGGAAACTGAAGGATAAGAGAAATTGCTGCTTGCCCAAGGTCTTGAGCTCGTCTGTTACGGATTCCAAGGACAGTCCTCACTCTCATGAGCCTGCCTTGGGGAGCAGACCACACTGCCCAAGGCACACAGAACTGTGGGTGTGCTGTTTACATGTTCTCCAGTGAAGCTTTACATTTCAAGGAGGAAGTCTCCCCTTGCTTGTGCTTCAAGTGTGGCAGGACACCGTCCCTGGGGTCGTGGTGATGGATGTGGCCTGCTTCCTGGATGGCAATAATAGTATTGAGGTTTATTTGTTTATTTTCTCTTGGCAGATTCTCAGCCCCGCCCTTGAAATGATGGGACTGGGGAACGGGCGTAGGAGCATGAAGTCGCCGCCGCTCCTGCTGGCCGCCCTCGTGGCCTGTATCATCGTACTGGGCTTCAACTACTGGATTGCGAGCTCCCGGAGCGTGGATCTCCAGGTGTTTTTCTTTTTTTAGATAACCTTTTTATTTTAGAATAGTCTTAGAGTTAAACAGAAACATTTCAGAGATAGTAGAGAGTTCCCATATACGCCACACCCAGTTCCCCCTGTTATTTATTTACATCTTACATTAGTATAGTGAATTTATCACACATAAAGAACCAGTTATTAAAAGCCTCTGAGCAGCCATCTAAAATACTCCACTGGTCTCACCCCTTCGGGAGCAAGGGAGAATGAAGAAAACTAAAGATACAGAGGAAAGATTAGTCCAAAGGACTAACAGACCACATCTACCACTGCCTCCACCAGACAGTCCAGTACAACTAGATGGTGCCTGGCTACCACCACTGACTGCCCTGACGGGGGTCACAGTAGAGGGTCCCAGACAGAACTGGAGAAAAATGTAGAATAAAATTCTAACTCACAAAAAAAGACCAGACTTACTGGCCTGACAGAGACTGGAGAAACCCCAAGAGTGTGGCCCCTGGACACCCTTTTAGCTCAGTAATGAAGTCACTCCTGAGGTTCAGCATTCAGCCAAAGATTAGACAGGCCCATAAAACGAGACTAATGTGGCACAACAGTCGAGGGACAAGGACTGGAAGGCAGGAGGGGACAGGAAAGCTGGTAATAGGGAACCTAAGGTCGAGAAGCGAGAGTGGTGACGTGTCGTGGGGTTGTTAACCAGTATCATAAAACAATATGTGTACTGTTTAATGAGAAACTAGTTCTGTAAACATTCATCTACAGTACAATAAAAAAAAATCTTTAAAGTGCTAAAAAAAAAAACCAAACGCATTGCTGGCAAGTCAGTTCTGTCTCATAGCAACCCTATAGGACAGGGTGGAACTGCCCCATAAGGTTTCCAAGGAGCAGCTGGTGGATTTGAACTGCTGACCTTTTGGTTAGCAGCTGAACTCTTAACCACTGTACCACCTAGGCGCCAATGAACTGATAATGATACCTTATTATTAACTAAAGTCCAGAGTTTATTCAGATTTTCTTAGTTTTTACCTAGTATTCTTTTTATATTCCAAGATCCCATCTAGGATACCTCCACAGTTTTTGCCTGTTTGTTTTGTCTTGTCTGTCTGGATATTATAAAGTATTTATGGTTGCTGGCCAATGAGTTCCGAATGGTTTGTTACTTATTTTCACCTAAATTTCAGTGTTGTCGGTGTGTACATGCTGTAATATAATGTGTGTAATACACACATCACACTGTGACTCAGCTCTGGGCCTGACTTCACACCCTCAGTACTGCCTTTTCCCTCAGCTCTGACCTTGGGTGGGAGAAGACCCCTTTTGCCACCCCCTGTGACTTCTTAGGAGTCCTGGTGGTGCAGTGGTTAAGAGCTCAGCTGCTAACCAAAAGGTCGGCAGTTTAAATCTACCAGCCACTCCTTGGAAACCCTATGGGGCAGTTTTACGTGGTCCTGTAGAGTTGTTATGAGTTGGAATCGATTTGGTAACAACGGGTTTGTTTTTTTTTTTAAATGACTTCTTAGGATTGCTGCCAAAATATCCCCCTCTGCTTTTCCTGTTGGTTAACAGGTTTCAGTCAGCTGTTTGGGCTGGTTCTGGAAAGATAGCTTGCTTAAGTATGCTGACCACGGCCCATCTCCTGGTCCTCAGGTCCACACTGGATATCAAAGGGTGGTTTTGGAAATGTGTTTGGATAATGGGTCTGAGGAGTACGTTTTTAAAGCTATCAGTCTTTAGCATCATCATTTAATGATGACGATGACCCTGGTTTTCCCCCTTACTGTAGCCCATCAGGGGCCAGGCACAGTGCTGAGCACTTTGTACACATTATCTTTTTTTGTTCACAAACCCTCCAAGGTTGGAACTTTGTTTTCCTCGTTTCACAGGTGGGCAGACTGAGGCACAGAAAGGTTAGTACAGGTGGAGCAGAGATTCCAAACAAGCTCGTTCTGATGGCAGAGCTTGGACTCTTCACCATGGAACCTCATCTCCCCTGAAAGTTGTTAATGTTCTGTCTTGCTCTCAAGCGTTCTCTCCGAGTTGTAGACCCTGTGTCTCAGCTTCCACCAGAACCACCGTTCTCTGGGCAGATGCGGGGCTGGGTTGTGGAGATGGAGAACAGAATTGGTTTTCAAAAGTAATACAAAGAGTTGTCAGGTACTTTGATAGCACGGAAAGGAACTAAGCATCTGAGCATCCCCTTGTGCCAGGTTAAGCCCTGAGCCTTGTGTGTACTTACCTCATTGAAGCCCATAGAGCCCTGAGGTACATGGCAGTGTCTCTGTTTGACAGTGGACGCTCGAAAGCTCAGACGTGTGAATGCCTCCATTTACACCACCGTTTTGTCTAGAGAAACCTGTTCTAGCTTCCATACAGTTGACTTGCAGACGTGAGCCTTTGGTAGCCATGAGGGGTGTAAGGCTTTATGCTGGCTCTGGGGCCCAGCCTGTGCCTGTTGTGGGGGCTCAGGCGGAGTGGTCTGCAGCGACGGCTCAATATTCGCCCTTACACTGTGGCCTCCTCATAGACCCGCATCACGGAGCTGGAAGGCAGGGTCCGCAGGGCAGCCGTGGAGAGAGGCGCTGTGGAACTGAAAAAGAATGAGTTTCAGGGAGAACTGGAGAAGCAGCGGGAGCAGCTCGACAAGATCCAGTCGAGTCACAACTTCCAGCTGGCGAGCGTCAACAAGTTATACCAGGACGAAAAGGTGAGGCCTGCTCGCTTTCCTCACTTCTGTTCTCAGTAGCATTTTGTGATCTGTCGAATTCTTCTCAATGGGAAGATAAATGGCTGTGTATATTTATGTAACTGTATGGAATTAGCTCTTGATCAAGCCTTGGGTCTACCCTCCACTTTACCCCCCAACCCCCATATACCCAAGGTCCCTAGGTGGGCTTGCTGTGAAACCTTTTGCAAAGTTGATAAACGGGAGAATGCAAAAGAGCTAAGATGGCATCGAAATCATCCTCTTACTGGCTTTTTTTCCCTTTTACTTTCTACAGATATATTAAATACCTACTCTGTGTCAGGTCAACCCTGATGGCGCAGTAGTTAAAGCTTGGCTGCTAACTGAAAGGTTGGTGGTTTGAAACCACCAGCAGCTCTGCAGCAAAAAAATGCGGCAGTCTGCTTGCATAAAGATTACACAAACAAAATCAAACCTGTTGCTGTCAATTTGATTCCAAGTCATAGCGACCCTATAGGACAGAGTAGAACTGCCCCATAGGGTTTCCAAGGAGCGGCTGGAAGATTTAAACTGCTGACCTTTTGGTTAGAAGCTGTAACTCTTAACCACAGCCTTGGAAACCCTATGGGGCAGTTCTACTCTGTCCTCTAGGGTCTCTATGAGTTGGAATTGACTCAACAGCAATGAGTTTGGGTTTTTTTTTTTTTTGTGGTGTCTGGTCTGTGAGAACTGCTTGTGCCCTCAAATATCTCACAGGAGTGGGGTTGCAGACGTCCAAAAAAATACTAACAAAGAAAGCAGGGGCCTCAAGCGTATTGCTTTTGCAGTTAAAAAAACAATCAGATTCTGCATAGACTAAAAAGGGCCTCCTATTAATTAAAATATCTAAGCTTTATGTGTCTTTTTCTGTTTTTGTTAGTAAATGAAAAATTTCTTTTATAAGGATCAGCACAAAGCTGGTTCCTATGAGGTGGAATGTTACAGCTTTTAGCTTTGTGGTTTGTCAAGCCCCACCACTGCTGTCTCGCCCCAGTATCCTGGTTCCTGCCAACTTACACTGCTGTTGCTCTTGCTGCTGCCATGCCATTCTCTCCCTGTCTTCAGTATTACAGCTCCTTCTTCTCTCTCTCTCCCTCCATGTCTCTCTCTCAAGTTTTGTCAGGGAAGCTGGTTGTATAGCAAGCTCCTTGTCAATTTCAAGGTGTTACTGCCACCACCACCACCAGCAAGACCACGAACTAACCAGTCCCTTACAAGGGTTCCATGCACCTTCTTTGCATTAGCGGACTGTCCAATCCCCACAAGGTTCCACACACTTTATTTGCATAGTCCCAGCCAGTCATTTAATAAGAGTTACCAAAACATGGCTGGAAAGGCTGTATAAAAGCAATTTATTACACCGCAGTTATAACCGTTCTTTCTTGTTTATGAAGTTGTGTCAGCGTGTGAGTTACTAATATCTTTTATTCTGAAGTGCTTCAAACTCACGGTCATTTATAACCTAAGGGTTTGGCTCTTACCAATGTAATGCATGTGCCTCTCTCTGTGGAACGGTTAGTGTACTGGAAGGAGGCTATATCTTTAGATCTATTATTGCGAATGTAGACACAGCTTTAGTATGAACTAGTGGAGTTCTTGGGTAGGGTGGAAATGGTTAATGTGCTCAGTTGCTAACTGAAAGGTTGGTGGTTCGAGTCCACCTAGAGACACCCGGGAAGAAAGCCCTGGTGATCTGAAAAATCAGACATGGAAAACCCTATGGAGCACAGTTCTCTAACACACACGGGGTCGCCATGAGTCAGAGTCGAGTTGGTGGCAGTTCATTTTTTTTTTTTAGTAGTCAGCACTTCACCAGAAAATGATCATTTCTACCTAGAGCCTCAGACTTTTCTTTTCTTGCATGTTGTCCTTGGTAGCTACTGTTGAGTTAGCCCCTGACTCATAGCGTCACCATGCACAATGAACAAAATGCTGCCCCGTCTTGTGCTGTCTGCATGATCAGTTGCAGATCAGACCATTGTGATCTGTAGGGTTTTTATTGACTGATTTATGGAAACAGTTTGCCAGGCTTTTCTTCCTAGTTTGTCTTAGTCTGAAAGTGCCACTGAAACCTGTTTATCATCAAAGCAACACTCAAACCTCCACTGACAGATGGGTGGTGCATAACTGGTTTAAAATGTGAGTAATCTTTTTCATTTGTAGAGTACTTTTCCATATTCACAAACTCATGTCTCATCTCTGGTAACTGTTCCAATTTTAAATGCTGTTATAATAAAGTGCTTCTCTATTTGTGCTTGCGTTTCTTGTATGTGGAGAAAGCTCCTGAAATCCTCTTTAACTGAATATAGTAGGACCAGGAGTTCTTCATAGTGTATACATGGATAGAATCTTCTAAAACCTGTTTTTTGGGAGGAAGTAGAGTTTATCCTTGTTGTTGTTAGGTGTCGTGGAGTTGGTTCTGACTCAGAGAAACCCTGTGTATAACAGAATGAAACACTGCCCAGTCCTGCACCATCCTCACAGTTGTTGCTGTGTTTGAACCTATTGTTGCAGCCACTGTGTCATTCCATCTCGTTGAGGGTCTTCCTCTTTTTCACTGACCCTCTACCTTACCAAGCATAATGTCCTGCTCTAGGGACTGATCCCTCCTGATAACATGTCCAAAGGATATGAGACGAGGTCTCGCCATCCTTGCTTCTAGGGAGCATTCTGGCTGTACTTCTTCCAAGAAAGATTTGTTTGTTCTTCTGGAAGTCCGTGACATATTCAATATTCTTTGCCAACACCACAATTCAAAGGTGACAGTTCTTCTTCAGTTTTCCTTATTCATTGCCCAGCTTTTGTGTGCACATTAGGCAGTTGAAAATATCATGGGCTGGGTCGGGGACTCCTTAGTCCTCAAGGTGACATCTTTGCCTTTTAACCTTTAAAGAGGTCTTTTGCAGCAGATTCGCCCAGTGCAATACGTCATTTGATTTTTTTGAGTGCTGCTTCCATGGGCGTCGATCGTGGATCCAAATAAAATGAAATCCTTGACAACTTTAATCTTTTCTCTGTTTATCATGATGTAGCTTATTGGTCCAGTTGTAAAGATTTTTGTTTTCTTTACCTTTAGATGTAATTCATATTGAAGTCTGTAGTCTTTTATCTTCATCAGTGAGTGCTTTAGGTCTTCTTCACTTGCAGCAAGCAAGGTTATGTCATCTGCATATTACAGGTTGTTAATGAGTCTTCCTCCAATCTGATGCTGCATTCTTCTCCATATAGTCCAGCTTCTCGAATTATTTTGCTCAGTGTACAGATTGAATAAGTATGGTGAAAGGATACAACCCTGATACACACCTTCCCTGACTTTAAACCATGCAGTATCCCCTTGTTCTGTTTGAACAACTGCCTATTGGACTATTTATAGGTTCCTCATTAGCACAATTAAGTATTCTGGAATTCTCATTCTTTGCAATGTTATCCATAATTTGTTATGATCCACACAGTCAAATGCCTTTGCATAGTCAGTAAAACACAGGTAAACATCTTTCTGGTGTTCTCTGCTTTCAGCCAAGTTCCATCTGTCATCAGCAATGATATCCACGGCCTCTTCTGAATCCAGCTTCAATTCTAACAGTTATTGTTACAACAGTTATTGTTGTAACAGTTTTTGAATTATCTTCAGCAGAATTTACTAGTGTGTGATATTAATGATATTGTTCTATAATTTTCGCATTCTGTTGGATCACCTTTCTTTAGAATGGACACAGATATGAATATTTTCCAGTTGGTTGACCAGGTAGCTGTCTTCCAAATTTCTTGGCATAGACGAGTGCGTGCTTCTAGTGTTCTGTCTGTTTGTTGAAACATCTCAGTTGGTATTCTTTCAGTTTCTGGAGGCTTGTTTTTCACCAATGTCTTTGGTGCACTTGGACTTTTTCCTTTAGTACCATTGATTCTTGATCATATGCTACCTCCTGAAATGGTTGAACGTCGACCAGTTCTTTTTGGTGCAGTGACTCAGTGTATTCCTTCTTTTGATGCTTCCTGCATCGTTCAGTAGTTTGCCCATAGAATCCTTTAATATTCCAACTTGAGGCTTAAATTTTTTCTTCAGTTCTTTCAGCTTGAGAAATGCTGAGCGTGTTCATCCCTTTTGGTTTTCTAACTCCGAGTTTGTCCTTAGGGAATAGAATTTGTAGAAATCCATGCATGATTTGCAGGATGTGCAGAGAATGTTGCTGGCACCCAGGCCCTCTGTAGTGGAGCAGGAGATGTGTGCTGGGAACTGGGCTGTATTGGGGGCTGAGTTAGGGGGCTCAGGAGAGCCAGGCAGGATTGCCTCTGGGGCCTGAGTTGAGATGGGCTCCCAGGGACAGCAGGGAAAGTCAAGAAGGACCATCCATGCTACCTTAGTGCTTCTTCAGTGTTTGGCTGTAGCCTGGGACCAGCCAGGAGCAACTGTTTCCCCTCTGCAGGAAGTGAGGAAAAATAAGGAGGAAGTTTAGTGAGTCTGTCAGCTCTCCTACCCTCGCAAGTATATGTATTGTTCAACTGTCTTTTCTTAGAAAGAATTTCCTTTTTATTCTGAGCCTCTGGCCTTCCTACATTTTGTTTTTAAAATAAAATTTCTTTTTTTCTTTTTTAAATGATAGTGAAAGGAGATAGTGGGAGGTGTGTGTGTGAGAGAGATTATGTGTGAGTGTGTGAGAGAGTGTGAGTATGTGAATGTGAGAGAGTGTGTTTCTGTGAGTGTGTGTAAGAGGATGTGTGTGTTAGGTGCTGCTTTTAAGTATCTTTGTTTTCTTAACTCCCTCAGTCTACCAAATACTTCTGAAATTTTAGCAGTCCATGAATTCCAAAATTCTAGAAATTCTGGATATTTTTGTGCATTGCTTGAAAGTGTGGGTGCATGCCTTGTGTGAGGAGGAGGAAAAGAGGCTGCAGGTAAATGCTGCTCATGGACAGAACACACGGGCGTGTTTCCCCTTGGTTACACCTTCAGGAGGCTCCAGACCCCTGTATACGGACCAGGA